GGGTTGGGAGACAGCTGCCCAAAGGGACAGCAAATATGCAGAATCCTCCTTATCTTAACCATTTTGCGGGATTTTGGTACCTCAGTGTCTGGCAAGTAATCCGCCTGAAAGAGTGCGACCCAGCAAGGTTGAGGAGGAGCTTTGTCACATTAGATAGAACCCAGGCCTGCATCTAGACTGGCAAGTTTTTCCGGCTGCGGAAAATCATGCCAGTCTAGATGTAGCCCAGATGTCTGCACCCCCCACTGTAAAGCACTAGACTCCTCCCCTCCCAGAGCTGAGAGAGAACCCAGAAGTCCTGAGGGGTTTCTCTGTCGGCATGACTATGAGGTCTGTTCTGTCCCATCTACTCTTCCTGCATTCTGGGTTCACTTCCCTATTAGCCCTAAACCCTGCTGCAAAGGATGTCCTCTGAGAGAGACAAAATGCTCTGTTCTATCTCAGGCCCAGAACAACTGGGTGGGAAAAGAGGAAATTCGCCTCCTCCCCCTGCAAAAAAATTCAGCGGGTCCCAAACTATTGTCAGGGAGGCCCAAAGATGTGAAAATATCCAATGTTAAGCAGTGGAAGAGCCGCAGATGGAGAGGCTTTGCTCTTTAGTTACATTATAGATCACAGGAAAATACTGACATGCTTGCCTAATTTTTACTCTTAGAATCCACGTGTATGTCTAGACTACAGGGTTTTGTCGACAAAACTATACCTGTGTCTACACTACCGCTGAATTCTGTCGACATAACGTTGACAGAAATCGGCAGTTTTGTTGACAGCGGTAAACCTCATTCTACGAGGAATAACGCCTTCTGTCGACAGAACTCTGTCGACAAAAGGCGTTATTACATCTACACTGTCCTTTGCATCTAAACTCTTATGTTGACAAAGCAGCTTGCTTTGTGAACAGAACTGGATGTAGTCTAGATGCTCTTTGTCAACAGTATCTGTCGACAAAGCCTGTGTCAACAAGAGCCTGTAGTCTAGATATACCCAAGTGTTTCCAAGAATCTAACTAGACCCTGGATTTTAATAGTAAAATCCAGTATACAAACATCCACTTACTACTGCCCCACCATATCGGGTTCCTAGAACTGACCCTGATCTATGTATCTAGCTATTATTCACCTGAGCCTTAACGGATCAACCAGGCAAATAAACTGCTCAGTTTAGCTGGGGAAGCCAGAATACTCTCATCCTTCTATTTGCTACCCTGTTATCTCACCCTCTAGGTAATCCACAAAGGTTCTTATTCCTACCCCACATGAGCCCATTGCTTCCTCTTGAGTAGTCACCATACCTTAGGGTATGTCTACACTGCCACCCTAGTTTGAACTAGGGTGGCTAATGTAGGCATTCAAACTTGCAAATGAAGCCCGGGATTTAAATATCCTGGGCTTCATTTGCATGTTCCCGGGCACTGCCATTTTTAAATGCCCCGTAGTTCGAACTACCTGCCCGCGGCTACACTCGGCACAGACTAGGTAGTTCAAATTCAAGCTCCTAATTCAAACTACTGTTATTCCTCCTGTGCCACTGCCCTACGTCCTGAACCAGGCTGTCTAACATTAGAGAGCTTGCTACCTAAGCAGCAGTCCCAAAAGCAACGAAGAAAGAGACTCACCTCTGGCTTCTGTCCTGAGACATTCCCGGGACAAGAGCTCTGGTGAGGTGCGTTGAAGCAGCTGGTAGCATGAAGGAAAGCAGGTGACGTAAAACAGAATAAGGAAGGCAAATTTCTAGAGAGTGGATTTCACCTACCTCTTGGCTAATTGATTGTTAATTGTCAGTTGTCTGCAGCCAGAACAACATCCCCAAAAGTTAAAAGTCCTGCCCTCACTGAGCATCCCCACCTCAAATCCTTCCTAACAATTGTACCAAAGATTGATTTGTCTGAGGAGAGCTGATATAGAAGAGCAAGGAAGAGGAAAGGAGTTGGACTGGAAACAGCATCCGAAGAGGGGCAGCTTTCCCATTGAATGGGAAGGGCAGAGCAGTGTGCATGAGCTGGGATCCCAGATCTTCTTGAGTGTGTGAGCGGCTCTTTGCAGAACAAGGGAGTAGGGATCGACAGAACAGTCCTCAGCGTTCTGCCCAGTAGGTATATCAGCTCCAGTGTCAGCCCCTATGCCCTGCAGGGCACAGAGCTACCAGTCTCCACCCTCCACTTCTGCGCAAGCCCCCTTTGCCATGAAGCTATTGCCTAGGCCGGGGTGGAGGGTGAGGGGGCAGCATCCAATCCATCAATATAGTGGATCTGGACCATGGCCACCCTGTTACTTCCCAGGCCAATCGAGACCTGGAGATGGGGGTGGAGGTGCTTGAAGTCTCCTCCCCCTGTCAGGCATGCATGAAACCAGAGGGAACTGTTTTAAAACAGGTGGTAGCTCTCTTTAGCCACGGCGTGCCCCTGGCAGGGTGGGGGCAGGCGGTGAGAGACTTTGCGCGCT